ATAAAACAAGTTTAAGTACAGAGAAAAATTAGTGTTATCTTCAGAGTCATTTTAATTCTTTGAAAAACTGGAAACTCAAAACTGATTACCTAATTTTATACAGTAAGCCAGGGAAAACGAAATTATAATTGCCGTAACTGACAGTGTTAAAAATATCTACTGATTCAAAAAATTAATTTAGGATAAATAATGGAAGTATCATTTTACAGTCACTTACACAGCTAGCCCATATGGCAACTTTTGGGAATTTTTCTAATTCCCAAAAAGTTTTCCTCAGGACACTTTACTGCCATCTGCTTATAGTAACCATACAACTCTACAATGACTGTGAGGTGAATGGCACTCCCTGGAGTTGCGAACACTCAACTTTCAGGATTATAAGCAGTGACAAGTGGTCAGTAAACTTGTAAGAATGGCTACCAAATGAGCTGGAACTGGTAAGCAAATAACGGTTAATCCCATAACTAATAATGCTCTGTACTCTTCTTAGAGCATTTATGTAGACTATTCCCTTTAATTTTCATAACAATCCTGTGAAGAAATTTGGTTTATATGAAACTATAGGAAATGCACTAAGATTATTGTTTGGAACCTTGGGAATGGATAATCACATCCTCCACCAAATATTCCTTGATACCACTACTGGAAACAAAGTAGATTGATTGTGTTTGGGATCATGGCAGTATTTTTTTGGAGTATGTACCATTTCTCTGTTCCCACACCCTCATTCAGCCCCAAGAATGGCAGTTTAGAAGAGTCCTTGGATGTGTAAATTTTGAAGTATGTAGAGACATAATTTTACTGTTAATTGACCTTGCATGAAAAGTAATCTGAGCCTAACACTGGTTAGTTTCGTGTTGCCCTACAGCCATATGATGTTCACATGCCTGTGCCTCATTAAAGGTGACAACAGCAAATGTTCCTCATCAAGATAACCAGAAACACATTTGTGATAACCAGCTTTAATATTTAACTTTAGTCAAGACCTACTACCACCAGGAAAATTTTGTAAAACTGTATTTATATGTTATATGTACAGGATGATGCTTAAAATAATATTTCTTCTAAAGCCACATACATCATATTAACTTCAGTACAATTTGTTATTCTTTGGCTTGAAACACTTCATTGGTATCTCATTGCTTTGAAAATAAAATTTAGGTTTTATTTTATTCTTAATACATACAATGACCTGATCTTTATTCTCTTATCTCCCACCATGTCTCCAGATACCTTTCATTCCAGTCACACCAAACTACTTGGTGCCCTTTGCATATGCCATGCCGTTTTATAGTACTGTAATTTTTCATATTCCTATTCCCTGTCTGAAATACCTTCTCCCCACCTCATCCACTTGAAGACCTGTTTTCTTTAAAACCTAACTGACGTGTGTCTTCTTCCATGAATCTTTCCCTGATCACGTCAAGCAGATTTAATCTTCCAAATGTTTTGGGAGATGAGTAAATGAGTGACTGAATATAAAATACCTACATGTTACATGCATAGTTAGTACAGGTAACATGTATAAAATTAAACCATGAGGCCCTGAACATGGAACCTGGGCATACTAAGTATATAGTTCCAGTTTTTGTGATAAAAATGTTTTCCTTTTAGTTTGGAGAAAAATGGAGGACCATCCATAATTCCTGTCTTTAAAAAAGGTAATTGATTTTTATCTCTGAGGTAACTTCTAGCCCTGAGACTTCTATTTCATTTCTGTTTTGTTTTGTTTGGGGGGGGTTAATTAGGTTAATTAATTAATTAATTATTTAAAATGGAGATACTGGGGATTGAACCCAGGACATCATGCATGCTAAACACACACTCTACCACTGATTGAGCTATACCCTCCCCCACTTCTATTTCACGTCTAACAATTTAACATGTAGTGGCTACCAAAAAAAGTTTACCTGTAAGCTTTTGCTTTTCTAATTCTATATACCTAAAATATCTTCCTATTTACAAGCTCATGTTAATCATTTCTTTGAAGGCTGTCCTTACTAACGTCACTTAACAGAAATCCCTCTTACTTTGCTTTTCCTCACACGGCATGCACAGAAATAAGTCATTATTGGAACAACATGTAAGTATGACTTTAATTATAATTATGATCTTGCTGTTGTTCTGTTTCATTTACAACTTGTCCATCTTAAAGTTCTTAGGGCAGAGACCATTCTTTCCATTGATACTATGTACAATCTTATACAGAATTGGTAGATGATGGCTGAATGGCCAAGGCCTGCAAGATCAGAATCCAGATCTTATAATGTTAACTCATCGATTCCTATTAATTACTGATTTTATGTATATGCTTAGTGTTTGTTCATGTATGCTTAGTGTAGGACCAAAATTGATCTTACTTGGTATCTTATCTTACTGGCAAAAGCGAAGGTAGAACCTTCCAAAATCAAGATCAGTTTGCTAGAGTCACAAATGGAAAGAGAGAATAGGAAAAGAAAAGGAGAGGAAAGAACTTCGTTTATTCAGTGAATATCTGAGAGATGCCATGTAGGCATGGGAGGCTGTATTTCTGAATACCAGTGGGTAGAAGAATGGCTGGTTTTTGAATAGCGTTTTTAGTTTAGTAGTAATTTACATAAAAGAATAAAGCCAGTCCCATTCTTTCTTCACTTTAATATTGGTTTCTGAGCAACTGTGTACCAGTGTGGTACTGTGTACCAGTGATGGTCTGATGAAGTTTTCACAGGTTTGTGGTAACAAAAGAAAAAATATGGACAATCAAGTTTCTGATAAAGTTAATTTCATTCAAGTGAAGTCTTCTATTTTGACATAATGCCTTCTACACTTTCTTTTGATGTTAAAATACCCCTTCCTCTACAAAATGATGTTTAGAGTAGTTGGCATTTGTTCTTTCATTAGTGCCAACTTGGCATAATAAAAAGTTGGCAACCATATATTGGTCCCCACAAATTTTTGCACTCTGACATTTCAAAGTTTGGAAGCTACTAATCTGTACTCTTAGAATATTTCAGTGATGTGAAGAAAATAGAACTATATAGAAATAAATGCAATGAGAATATACCTAGGGCTCTGAGGCTTAAGAAAGAGACTTAATTGTGGCTCTCTCATTTTTAGGGAAAGAGCACCGAAGAAAATTAAAACCCAGAATTCAACCAAGAGATTCTCTGACTTTCAGACCTCCTGTAACTAGCTACATGGGACTCTTCAAAACAACAGAAAAGACTGCTGTTTCTCATAATGTTTTTTCTTTTTCATCTGCAATTTCATCAGATATCATAAAAGTATCAAGACCAAGAATAGTGTTTTTGAGCCAACTTGGGAAACGCGTACAAAAAGCTAATCCGGAGCTTGCAGAAGGCTAATAAAAGCATTTTAGTATGAAAGGATTCCTGAGCAATTGTTAAAAAATTTTTGTTTTTAATTGTAAAATATACGTAACTGGGTAATCTTTTTAATGTAAGTTCTTGATATTGATACTTAACAGATTTTTCTTGGAATGTCTACTGAAACTTACCATCAGGTCAGAGTTATGGTTTCAAAAAATAAGTAAAATTTTCTGTAACAGAATGCTTGCACTTAAAACTATTAAAATACAGCAACTGACACAAGTGGCATAATTAGTGTATATATCAAATGTTAGAAACATGTTTAAATTGGTATGCTGGGCTAAAAAGGCCTGATTCAAAGTACACCATATGTTAACACTCACCGTAATACCTTAAGCTATTTAATGATAAATACTACAAATGCACGAGGCATCTGAAATCTGAAATGAATACTTTTAAAACATTTTATTAAAAAAAATCTGAAATCACTGTCCATCAAGCACAAAAATATGGCTAAAAAGTGTGGCCACCAGTATTGACCATTCTCCATACTTATAGAGTTATCTTTGGTTTGCAGCTGGAATGGCTGATATTCTTTGTGGCTTAGAATCACTTAATGTCTTTGTCCAAAGAGTACTGTTGCCAGTAGGTGCAAGTTTTAATGTATGTCTGCTTCTCATATTTTATAGCAGCAGACAGATGTGACACAAAAGTTAACTGGGTTTCACTGGGTCCTTTAAAGAGTACCCCCCCTTTCCTCTGTCCACTTTGCTCAACTGTTTCTATAGTCTACCTGGGCTGCACTGAACATATACATTAATTAGCAGTTATTTTCTCCAACATGCTTTAACCTAATAGTAACCATGGCGATAGCAGCTACACATATTTAGGGCTTTCTGTGTACCACAGTCCAAAGCCTGTGCTCCTAACCACTGTATAAAGAGACCTCTTTAATCTTCAAATTCAATTCTAAATTATCTTAATAGCTCTCACTCACAATTTTCTGGTGGATACACTAAATTAGAGGAATTGCGGGGGAAATTGCATATTTTATACTAAAAAGGGATAAATAATTCACATAGTAAAAAACTGTGTCATTTATTCAGCACCTTTAAGAATCCATATCAATGGAAATATTAAGCCTCTGTAGACATTGAAAAAAAAAGCCTTCAGACAACAAACTTTGAAATTGGCTTCAGGTGGGCTAAGCAGTATTTTCAGAGTTGAGGCTCAGGGTTTTCTTTTTTGCATTCAATAACATAGATATTTCCTGAGTACCTTGGCCTAGCCAGATCATCCTGCCATACCTAAAACTTAACAGTGTTTCAAGCACAGCCCCCAAGCAAAAATTACTTTTATCACCTTATATTTTCTTTTTTTTTTAATTATGTATAAGATGAAAAAGGTCTCAAGATATAGAGGGTTTCAGCAAATTGCCTGCCTCCTGCCTGCACTGTAACTTCGGTACGTATACATGCCAGTATAAAGCTCAATGTTTCTCCTTTCCTTTCCCTCCCATCTCTTTTCTTCTTTCCCTTCCTTCTGACTAAATTCTGGAAGACCTAAGGATACGAAAAGCTTCCAGAATTTGCTCTTTTTTTTTTAAATCTGTAGTTTCCCTTATTTATATCATGAACTCAAATATGTATTTGTAGCTCCTGGAACAATTTTGATACTTTGAAATTTTAAGAGCTCAGATTATAGATATTCCAATTTCATAAAATTTACAATAGTGGAAAAAAATCTTGGTCAATTTTCTTCCACAGTTTATATGCACTCTGATTGCAACAGCCATAGGAAACACATTTCTTCTCTGTGAATTCAGATTCAGATGATACAGAATACAAATACAAATGTAAAGATTGAATTCACAAGCTAATAGTTTCTTCTAAATGATATTTACAAACCAATTCTATCACACCTATACCTCAGCATCAAAGAACAAGCTTTATAAATACTGCTGTTTCTACATGTTCCCTCATATCAATTATATTTTTTATTTCCAGGATAAAATGGAGGATTATAAAGCAATATTCTATGATCACAATTCTAGAGAAAAGAATTACTTAAGGAATTTCTCAAAAGGGAGGTCACCTTAAGGCAGAATTAAAATAAGAATTCTTTTTATTCTAGTGTTTAATCCTTATCCACTAGTTTCTCAATAAAGCAAGTCACTGACTAGAAAGTTAACAACTTGATCCAGTATGGATGGCGTAATATAAATCTCTACTAGTAAAATTTCTCAAAGGACATTAAACAGTACCACCATCTTTATATTCAAAGGACAATACATTCAGTTACTTTAATTTGCACAGAAAAAAAGTAATAACACTGTTATGATATCTGCAGTAAAAGTTCAGATTCAAAGGAAATTATCCAAAACCAAAACAAAACCCTTTTCACCTCATATATTTTCACTTATCAAATATAAAATCTAAAACAATGAGTGCGAATGTTAAGTGACCAACTAAAAAGTACAATACACACTTGAGAGATTACTTGCATGCCATATTTCTTAAAACCTCAGATTTTCAGAAATATATAGAATTCCTATTTGCCCCAAAGAAGATACCTAATAATTTTTTTATAATTACAAACATACATTCTGTTGGAGAAAGTCACCTTTTGCTTTGATTTAGAATTCTCTGAGCTGACATGACTTTGACCTGGCTACCTTTCTAAAGTTGCTCTCTCATTAGAAAATGTTATATTTTCTAATGTTTCAGTGGAAGCCAAAAAATAGCTTCTACTATCCTGATACAAGAAAGGGGGAAAAAGATCAATGCTTGTATCACTATACTTCTTCCAAGGTTTTTCTTTCTACAATATCAGTACTCTTTTCTCAACAAGATGTTTTACTTTGGTTTTGATAATCAAAAAAAACAAAAACAAAAAACTATGTCTCTTCATAAGGTCATAGCATATTATTATAGTCTCTCAGAAGAGCAAGTTAAACATCAAACATAAGAAAAAGAATAACAAAAATTAGCCTTGTTAAACAGTGTTATATACAAAATGATATACAATTTCTATAATTTGATATATATAAAAAAACTTTATTACAACTTATAGAGATTTTTTGAAAAACAAAAATCAGATCTTCATTTTTAATCGTGGTACTTTTATGGCAGCCTCTCCAACTTCTTTTGATATGTCTACTCCAAGAGGACATCTGTATAATAATGAAACAAATCTTATTATTTCAAATATCCACTTCCTGATCCGTCACTAGTTCTGCAAACTATTTACTTAAAATTCTGACAAATGGTACATGTATCTAATGTATAATTGATTATATGTGGTGATGGTTCTTGAATACATACAAATACAGTGGGACCTCAAACCAGAATAACAGGTGAAGGAAGGCTAGTTCTATTAATAAGAAATCTAAATTTGGCAATTTTAAAAAAACACTTTGAGGTATAACTGACGTGTTAAAAGCTATACACATTTAATGTATACAATTCAATGAGTTCAGGGATTGAAACTTTTTGAAAGAAATAGTTCTATTTCTCTCAAATACTGTAAATAAATAAAAACTTGAAACAGAAAAAAAAAGAATAAAAAATGCCTTTTAATGCTCTACAAAGCTAAAAGGGTAAAAACAGTTTACCATATTGCTAATCTTACCTGCAACCCTTCCTACTTCAGAAATCCCCCAGGTTTCAGTTCTTCTCTGAAGTTTCAAAAGCAGGCTTACATCCTTTTCTACCTTCCTTTGTCACTGGTGGCAGGAGAGATCTTAGATCATACCCTTTCTCTGCTCTTCCTCAGTAAATAATTTTGGCCTCAGATTTCTGACTTTTTTCAGTGTTGCCCTATACAAGTCTTCAGCTGGACCCCAACCTAGAAAAAGCCATCATCTCCAGCCTCAGCACTGCCCCAAGAAGGCAATGTGGGATCAGATGGCAGACTGTACCTAAGACTAGGCCATCACCTTAAGGGATTCTTTCTGCCACTACTAACTAAACTCACTGATGATCAGCCTTAATAGCCTGTGGTACATGTAGCTATAATTATGCATTAAAATGCTGAAAAGTTTTAAAACAGATGAAACAATGCTGAAAACAGAATTATGTTAGATTATGAAACATAATCATGCTTTACTATTTTTACTATCCCAGAATTAACTTAGACCAGAAATTGATAACAAATTGGAAAACTATGCTACTCCTTGGAATTTTGATTTGGGAGAGGAAATAAGACTTGCAGAAAACAGCTTTCTTTTGAACATTTCTCAGTTGCCTGTGGAGAAGGATACTCACAACCCACTCTCACACCTGAATGCTTTTTGCACATTTTCCTTGAGTTTCCAGCATAGCAGGTGGACCTGAGACGTTTTGACCCTACCAAAGTCCAGGCCATGGACATAGTTTCCATTCTCGTCCCAAATGAGGGAATTCATCACCCTTATCCACCTTAGCCATCATCTGTTTCTAACCTATGATTTGTCAAAATTTTTATAATTTGATGCTGTAACATATTTCTCATAAGGTATCTACCGCCCAGGTTCATGAAAAAAAAATTAATGCAATCCTTCTTCAAGTATCACCAGAATGTCAATGAAAACCTCACATATAAAAGCAAAATCCAGGCTCTGACTTTCAGATGCAAATTGCATAAAGATTATGAATGGTACCACGTACTTTGGTTCATAGCGGATGCCGTCTGTATTGTGTAAAATGCCCAAGCCAGCACGCAATCTTTCAACACCATTCCTAAACAAGAATCATTAAAATAAAATAAGTAGCCCAAGATTTAAAAGAAGAAAATTTAGCATGATGAAATAGTAATTCATATTTACATAATTATGAGTGAAGAAGCACAACTAACCCGTGGCTTACCATGCAATCATAATGCCATTGTCAGTGCACAGTCTAGGAGGAGGGCACAACAAAGTGCACCGAGTTGCATCTGTTACAATTTCTAAAGCTTCTCGGATATATAAGTTACTTGCAACACCTCCAGATACAACCTGAAAAGGTTGAGAAAATCAAAATTAATAAAATATCACATTTTGTGGTGGGTAATGAGCAAGTGATAGATCTGTATAATAAATATCTGAAGAAGAAAAAAACCCAACAATTTCAATATCAGCATATGATCACTATTTTTTTATACATTTTCTTCTAACCCTTTTCTCATTACAATCTTTAATATAGTATTTTACACCCTGTAGGCTTTGCTTATAAGCATTTTTTTCAATTTACTACATAATTCTTAAATTATTATCTTTGATATTCATGTACTATTCCATTTTGTGAACCTACCATTTAAATGTTTTCTTATTTTCTAATTTTCAAAATAATGAAGTTTAAGGTATAGTTACACAGGAAATTCATCAAAGCTTTTAAAGCACATTTAAAGGGATTTCATCAAAGGAACATAAATTTGAAGGAAACAGACTATTTTTCTAAAAGTAATGACAGCACTTATATTGCATTTCATTTCATATTATAAATCATTTTTTATCCTCAATGAAAAGATGCAGTCTTGAACTTTTTTGCCACACAGGCTGTATAGATGTCCTATAAAGGTGCCACACCTGTACAAGAAATGGCTGTTAGATTTTATTCTACATAATTTCATACTGTTGGGCTAGCATATGGCATAAACACTTTTTCATCCTATGCACAGGGTCAATTAAGCCTTGGAAGAAAAGTAACATACTGTAAAGTATTACTACTATTCTAAGATGACAAAACTTACCAGTACTGCATTACTTTGACATAACAAGTCTCTCTGCTTGCAAAACAGAATAGCACGATGTGTTCTTTTTGCAATGTGGCAAGCTATTGTGTGCTGCACTGCAGCAGCAATGTCTGCAGCTGAGGACAGGATCTGCCCCTTCTCAATACCTGTAGAAATGAGCAGGTGTTTTTAGGCACAATCCAGTATTACTTATTTGTCCAACTTTACTAATTAGAAATATACCTTCCTCTTTTTCCTTTTGCATTATCGTCTTATCAACAATGTGTTGAAGTCCAGAAAAAGAAAAATCACAATTTTTAGCACGTTGCATAGGAGGTCTGAAATCAAAATGCAATTTATTTCCCTGTTTGGCCAAATGTTCTATAGCCTTCCCACCACTCATGGCGGAGCACTCTGGATGTTTTATTAAAGAAAGCCTTCTTGCTACCTATCAAAAACAAACACAATTTTTTGTAATGTCATGAAACTGCACAGTTTGAAACCAAGGTGCAAAGAAAATTAATTTTACCCCAGATGAATAAGACATCTTATGCTTTTACAAATATAGACTATAGCTGGTGGTCAGTAAAGACTGACAGTCTTGCCCCTTGTGACAACCTGATCTGTAGTGGCCGATCATTGCTTTCCTATCTGCTTCTGCTCTTCTACTGGGGATGGAAAATAGATTTGAAGTTCACAATGACTGCTTAATGATGAACTTCAAAATAAGTTCTTCCAATCATTTCAGCTGTTGGCAGCAGGTTTTTTGTATATGGCATTAGTCTCTGTAGGATTCCAAAAAAAAGGGAAAGAAATCTACTTGTCAGTGGTGTCAGCAACTGTGACACGTAATAGGACTTTGTGCATCTTTAATGTCCTTACGTTTTCTTTATCCTCTTATTTCACTTTTTAAAAGTACATTACACTTTACAAAGCACTTCCTTTCACATGTTATTTGATTAAAAACATAAATGTTATCTGCAAACAACCTGAGCCTTTATATACTGATGTAACCCTATTTTATTCTGAACAGGTAAGAATCCTTTATAAAACTATGTACTACTTTTTCCTTTTTTTCTTACTACAAATAGTTTCTTTTCAGTCTAATATATTATTCAGAAATACTGAGATGAATATTAGTAGTGCATCTACTACTATTTAGTTGAAACAGACACCTTAACAAAAAAGAGAAATTAATTCTTAAATAATTACCTTGTCAAGCATGTCACCTGGTGCTATGTCCAAAGACTTCCCAAGAAGCAGAAAATCTGAAACTCCTCTAACTAATGCCAATAAGCAATGACCTCCAGAAATCAAAAGAACTAAAAAAGGAAATTCTACTTTATTTGTTAACCTAATAGTAAGTGCGTGAGCCTCCATATGATGAATGGGAATGAAGGGCTTTCTAAACTGGTCTACTAGTTTTAAGCTAAATGATAATCCTACTCCCAAGCTTAATGCAAGTCCTGGTTTTACAGTAGTTGCAATTGCTGAGAGATCACTTGGAGAGATGTTACTGGCAGAGAGAGCTTCTTGCACTATTCGTTGAATATTTTCTCTGTGAAGCTGTTGAGCTACTGGAGGAATAATCCCACCTGTTCTGAAAGATATAAAGAAACAGCTTTTTATAATTTTAAGGTTGTAAAAATAGAGGAAGAAAAATTATGTATTACGGCTGAAGGTGTGTTTCAAGTTAAACATTATACAGTTAAAAACTGTTAGTAAGTCAAGTATTTTCAAATAATGTTTGCCTTATAATGAAGCACATTATAAGAACTCAATATGCAGTGATTAAGGATGTAACTTAATGTAATTTTCAAAATTGTGCACAACAAACTACTATGGATTGTTTGTTGACAAATGAAACCACCAGAATAATCTTGAGAAACATTCCAAGTAGGAAGTCTTGAATAAGGAAGAGAGGATAAAATTGGATTTTAGGAAAATTAATCTATCTGCACACAGGGAGATTTTTTAAGAGGTTATTGCAAAAGTATTTGTTTAAGGTGATTACATCTTAACTGGGTGGTTGTAGGAATGAAAAGGACCAAGAGCCCTGAAAACCATAATTAACTGGATATAAGGAGAAGGGGGGGAACCAAGGCATTAAGGATGAATCAAATATTGAGCTGGAATGAGTGGGAGAAAAGAAACACTAACAGAGAAACATGAAGACAGTTTTGTGAAGAAGATGAGTTTATTTTTAAACACACTGCACTTGAGGTCATGGCAGGACAGTGGACAGCTTGCAATCCTGAAATAGTTTGGGAATCCAATGCCAGAGTTGGTAATTTTGATTTTTGGTCCATGTAGGCCAAGTAGTAGATGACCACTTCAAATGTCAAGAGTAAAGAATCAGAAGGCAAAGTTAGCAAAAAATTTGCCAGCATGTGACTGATAGACAATCAGAGAAGCAGAGCCTAAAAACGAAGGGTTTGTAAGATGCAACTCTAATCTAAAAAAACAAACAAACAAACAAACAAAAAACCCTTTAAATATTTGATGTTGCAAGATCTGCTAGTTCTATATATACACAGTATTCAATGGATATTTACTTAATAGTTAAACTATGTACTGTGTCAGCCAATGAGGGAGATGTTAAAAGAAATTATCTTAATTCAACCTATCCATAATGTAATACCATTTTCCTTAATTCTTCAAAGTCACTTTTTCTTATATTCAACTCTGTTAATGGCATCAATAACCTCTTTATCATTCATGTTTCAAGGTTCATCCTTATCTCCTTTCCTTCACTTTCCACATTTAATTAAGTTTAGCGCCATTCCCACTGCCACCACCACGTTAAAAAAGCTCTCGTTATCTCAATCTATTCAAAGCCTTTTACCTGTACTTTCCCAGATACATTCTCTGATCCTTGGAGTCATTCTACACTGTGTTGCCAGAAAATAAAGCACCATGCTGACCCCCAGCTTTTACTTTCTTGGAATCTGGGAGACTTTAAATCCGAATCCTCTCCCTCCCACTTATTTCTTCCTTTTCCTACTTCCCTACTTCCCTTCCTTTCTGTGCCTCTTCTACGTATTTTATCTTCTTAGGATTATATTAAACACCAGAAACAAAAGAGATGAATAAGACCAAGGCTTTATTCTCAAAGAATTAATAATGATTAATAAAGTCAATTAATTAATAACCAAATAATAATTTGTAGACAGTATGGAGAGTGGATGATTAAGGAACAAAGCTAATAAAGAGGCAGGAAAACCATTTAGCCTCAAGGCTGGAGCCAAGAGTCCCGGTGAGAGACAATAAGGGCTAGAACTAAGTCAGTGGAAAGGGGGAGGAGAGTTTCAAGAAATACTTGGGAGGTTGATTCACTATAACTGAATGACTGATTTGGATATAGAATGGTGAGGGAGACAAGACTGTCCTTCAAGTCTCCGGGTGGGAATAAAGGACTCCTCTCCCAAATCCTCTATTATTGCACCTTCCGTGCTGTTTTACAGTGACCAGTTTACCTCTCTGTCCTCTTCACTTATTTATAGTAGTAACAGAAGTACTATTGCTATCAATTATAGGTAGCTTTTATTGAGCCCTTGCTATTTGTCAAGAACTAAATGCTTTAAAAGAATTCACATTTAATCTTCACAATGTTTTGAGCTAGTTGCCACTATTATCTCCATTTCACAGATAAGGAAAACTGAGGCACAGAAAATGGTGCAAGGTTTCAAAGCTACTAAGTGGCTGAACCAGAATATAAACCTGCACTCCAAATCACTTTATATGGCAAGCTCCTCAGAGTCAAGGATCATATATCTTTGTCATATTTGTACCCACAGTGCCTTGGATGCTGCCTGGCAATTGTAGGTACTCAATAACTGTGAGAGGAGCTGTGGAGATGGTACCACACAGCCTATTTGCCTGCACATCTCTCTTGTGACTTATGTGCTAGCTAAATTAAATGTACAGTACTTTCTCACCTCTTTGCCTTTGCTGATGATGCTCTCTCAGGCTACAGTGTTCTTTCCATCTCCATTCATTGAAGGCCTAACTACCTTTCAAGTCCACTGACACCTGCAACATGTCACGTGCTGTGCTGGGCACTAGACATAGTGCAATGATTAATACAGACACAGCCCCTGTCACCATGGAGCTTAGAGTCTATTGGGTGAAAGAAAGACAGTATGTAAGCAAACAAATATAAAAATTACGAAGAAAATACGTAAGATATGGTGATACAGAATAAACAAGGTGGGATACCTAATTTAGATAGTGATCAGGGTAGGCCCTTCTGTGCAGTTAACATTTACATGTTCATGTGCAGTACACCCCAAAATAGTGAAAGGACTGTGGAACTGAGACATGGTAATAATGTTATTGTCTGTGCCACTTATTTGATACCCACTTTACGCTGCCTTGCACTGTTAATTTTCCTGGTAGGGCTATGTATCATGTCTCAAATACTAGTTAAGCTTCTTGAAGGCAAGGACTTACTGTGCCTTTCATATAATATGCAGCCATTAGAAGCCTACTCTTCCTCCTTCACATATACTATTTCTAATTATAATACTCTATATTATTTCTATTATGCACTCCACAGTCCTGAAAAGCAAGTACTATCTTCCTCGTTTTACAGATATGAAAACAGAATCAGAGAGAATAAGGAATTTCCCTAAAGTCAGAGTCAATATCAAGTGCCTAATTCATGATTCAAATGCAGGTCTGTGATCGCAGAACACCAACCTTTTTCACTATTAAGTTGTAAATTGATGACCTGAAATGTATTTGATTTGTACAGTATTTTAATATATTTGAATTACCAATTAATTTTTAAAATCTGGGAGATATTATCATAACATTCTGGATTTCCATTTTCTCTTGAAAATTCTGATGATCAAGTAACATAAAGCCTTCATTCCTGCATGGCAACAATTGGCTGGAGCTGAGCAGTGACCTCTCAGATATTTCCTACATTATATTCAGCCCATTTATTTATGTAACCTGCCTGGTAGCCCTCTGGAAATATCTGAATTTATAATCACCACCATTCTGTGCTTTAATATAACAGTATATAATTACTTATTTAACCAACGTGAGTCATGTGTATAAATGTGAATAGGATTTTCTTTTTCAATGATTAACAGGCTAAAGGTCAGGTCATACTTTCCTAGGACTTCAGTTGAGATCATGAAACATACAGGTCAACAAAAGAGAAAAAGGCATTACCAAGGGGAAACCATGAATAAATATTGATGCTCAGTTTCTTTTAGGCAACAAGATTAGCTAAAGTTGGGACCTTAAAGTTGTGGAGAGCCTTAAAAGCCAGGTTGAGGGGTTTAAGGTTTTCTAAAGGTTTTCTACAGTAGTTATTAGAAGCTTTTGCACAAAAGAAGAAATTGGCTCCTAATACTAACTTTTATATATAATAAATACAAAAAAGTTATTTCATTTTATTTTTCCAAAAGAAGTGGAAACTACCAAGATAGCATCCACTTACTTTAAATGAACTTCAGTTTGGGAATGTATTGCTTCTCCCAAAACATTTCCGGTTTCATCCACTACAGCAGCTGCTGTATCATCACAACTGGTTTCAATTCCCAATACTAGTTTATGAAGAAATAATTTTCTAGGATGAAAATTAAAATGTCTTAAAACTTCATAAAGTTTCCTTTTTGATGGTTTAGAAAAAACTTCTGCTGTCTTAGTCAATATTAGCATATTTACTGTATAGATAATTCCTGGAAAAGAATCAAACAAACAAACATTATTTTTTGGAACTGACATTAGCCACTAACCCATTCAGTTAAGCAAAATTCTGAAAGCTTGGTTTATTTTTCAACATATAGTTTTATGAAACTTTAGCAAAGTTTTGTAAAAGTTAGCAAAAAATTTAAAGGCTGTAACAACCTGTTAATATAAAGAACAGTATGAATGAATATAATGCTCTTTAAGGAGGAAAACAGGGAAAGTTAGCTATAAAATGTTTAATATTACTATTACTTGTGTGTTGTTCTTATCCAACTATTGATTATTCTTTATAAAACAGCTAGTATTACAGTATAATAGTTGCATGGATAGTCCTCTGGAAAGTGCTACTTTTTTTATAGCTAAAAATTAAGGCAAAACGTGTTTCTAAACAAAAATCAAACAATAAAGGCAAAACAGAACTGATAAAAATTAATGCATTCAATTTCCTGGAAACATTTTTCAAAATAAAATTTAATCATTTGATTGGAAAACAAGAGTTCACAAAAAACACACAGAACAAGTCGTCTAAGTTTAGAAACAAGTGTTCTCATAAAGCTCATCTTACAAGAACATCTCAACTAAAACGATCGCAACCTAATACCTATTTTATCCATTAATCACAATTATTCGATGTAAATCTCCGTTTTGCCACAGGAATCTTTACCATAACAGGGATCTCCCCAAATTCTTCTTTCCCCAAAATAATGATAATAGCAATCCATCATTAAAGTACCCTGGTGTTTTTACACTGCCAAATATCTTGTTTCATGCCCCCAAATCACCTGTTCCAGAGCTTTCTCGATGTTTAAGTAGGCCCCTTCCCTACCACACTAATAGACAAAACGGAAAAAAAAAAAAAAGAGCGAATATTGGAACTGCTATTGTTCCATGGGGGCAGAGGGCATCCAGGGATTAGACGCGAGCGATCTATTCAAAGAGGACAGCTGCGGAGAGTGCAGCCCAGAAAGACAAGCCACAAAAAACTAGATTTATAGTCACTAAATCTAGGTAAGGCAGCTTGTGCGAAGCCCTTCTCTTTCGGGTCAAGAAAGATCCCAAGTGAACCCTGGGGACTCGGCCAGCGTTAGTCTCTCTCTCTCTGTCTAGGAAGGCGAAGACTCTGACTGGAACTGCTTTCCCTTGTGAGCGAAAGTATCAGTGGGGAGAGACGGGAGCAATTTCACCCACCTTTCTGCTGAACGACAGTACCTAGTATTCGTCTCCTTTCCGAAGCAAAGACAGTGAACTGCCCTTTCCCAGGAGCCAAGAAAGCCTGAACCTGTCGCCCCGGAAGTGATGTCATCAAAACGGGGCCAGCGCCCCGTCACTCAGGCCAGCATTAGTTTCCCGCTTATAGGGCGTCACTCTGAGAGTAACTATAAATATAAAGGCTGTCTTTACCCAAGCCGCTCTGCGTGCGCCCATGCAATTCTACCAGATTTGTAGGTAAGAAGTACTTCTACAAGGTCACACGGTTAGTGACTGGTACAGCGGAGACTGAACAGAGATTTGACTGCTTAGTCTTTAGTTCTAAACACTACGCTGCATTAAAAGAAAAAAAATTTTTTTTTGCCTTTGGCTGCAGTTTGTACGCCACTGTGAAAAAAGGATGGGATAGATTATTCGTCATCCCATTCTAGAGGAACTATCACCAAATATAAAGTTTGTGGCCTGAGATAACCCAATACTTTCTTTAAGAGACATGGAGGGAAACTAGGGACGCCCCCAAAGACTTGTTCAGTGTTCCCAGAGAACGGAAGCCCTTCTGGTTTGACAGTCTAAACCCTTACTCCCACTTCTTCACTTGAAATGAAAGCTGTGGGGCTGGCTCGTTTCTTGTGATTAAAAAAAGTGCTGGGGGGTGGGGATGGGCAGGGGAGGGGACGGTGGTAAATATTTACTTAACCTTAAAATTATAATATCCTATTTTCATAATGCATGCATGGTCTTTGTTTACTATATAGGCAACCTTCTGCACAGCAGTACTCCTATTCTCGTATCTCCTTCAGTCTTTTTTTGTTTTTATTGGTATGTGAACTTGTTACCATTTGAATAGATTTATCCCAAGAAGCTTTCTCTTCTCCCTGCTAGGCTTTAAGGTTTGACTGCGCAAGGACCTTATAAATGCAAGGTTGGACAGGGCTGGCACATATTTTGTACTTTGCATGGTGTTAAGTTCTTGGTATAAAGTAGTCACAGTTGTAGCCTAGTGGCAGATATGTAATTCATATTTACCAGATGTGTAAATTTATAATTACCATAATGTTAGTAAGAATTTTTAAGGTAGAACTTATGTTTATTAGAAATTTCATTTATGTGTGCCAGTAATAACCACAATTAACAAAATAGTGGCACTTACTATGTGCCAGGCACTGTTGTAGATTAATTTGTTTAATACTCACAACAGTCCCATGAGGTACTGTTCTCATTTTACAGATGAGACAATTGGATCACAGAGATTGGGTGATTTACAGGCCGCACAGCTAGTAAGTGCAGAGCTAGGATTAGAAGCCAGACCATCTGCTCTGGAGTCTGTTTTCTTAACTGCCAGAAGGTAAAATAGCTCATATTTTTCCTAGGATGTGCTGTTGACCCAAAAGAGGAAAAAAGAAAAAATTAAGACCTAAAGGTTAAGAAAAATCAATTATCCTATCTGATGGCAAATGATAGGTCAGAAGTTATTTTCGCTTATACACTGGAATCTAGTCTGAACATAATAAAATCTTTCATTTCTGGCATTGTTTTTCTTGCAACTTGAATTACATTGTCTCAATGCTCTCCTGTGCTGTCAGGAGTTATCCCTGTTGTGTTTGGTAGTATCAATGGTAGATTTCTTATCTGGACACTCTTGGGTGATGAGTCTGAGTGCTGTATTATATGAGGGAGAAGAACTTTAGGACACATTAGGAAGAAATTTTACTATTCCTTTGTGTGCATGTGGATAGTAGAAAGAAATGGCATTTACATCAGTCCCACATATTTGGCAACTGAAGGGGTAAATCTTCCATGTTCTTGTACTGGAGAAGTTATTGCAGAGAGGCATATGCTTTCTGGGGCTTCTCTGGACTTTCATGCAGATCACATCATATTGTTTGAATGACACATTCATGAGCATTCTCAAGAAAATATGGCCTAACCACTGTAACTTCAACTTTAAGTGAGAGCTCCAAGTGAAATCTAAATATGTTCATTTTGTCTCTGCTAGTGCCTAAATTTTCACTTGTAAACTTAAGAGGAAAATTTTAAATAAAAGAAGCTTTACAATACTCATTCCCTAGTTATGTCTTACTAAGTTGGAGTTCATTTTCATGTGTCACATATTTATTGGATTCTTTCCTTTGTCATAGGCAGTTTATTAATTTTTTGGGATAAAAGATAAGATCCATTCTCTATTTTCATTGTCTAACAGTAGGCAATTACAATACAGCATTATGGAAAATGTACATTGAGAGAGGAAAGTTGCTTGGGGGAGGTCATAGCTTGCCATAGATGTATCCACAGTCTAGCAGGACCTTTGTGTGATTACTGGGTTTCAACATCTTGTTCTTTTCAGGGCTTGAAATTGGTTTATCACATCTGGAAGTGATTGAGTCACAAAATTTGCTAAGAAACTGCTCTGTAAAAACTATAATACCAATGTACTAATTTATGAGAAATGATCTAGGATAGCTGAGCTTGCAGATCCTTGCCTTCTTTGTGTTGATTAAATTACAGCGAAAGCCACATCCAAATTATAACCAGACTGGCACAATGGAATGGAAGCAACAGAAATGTGTTTGGTGCTTTTAATGACTAATATATCAGGCCTGATGCACCCTTTTCCACTTGAGTCACAAAGCTATATTCTTTGTAGGTTGGATCGCACTAAAAATACACTGTCATTTGCCTTTATCTTTTAAAGTTTTTTTTGCTGACAAATATCGTTTTTGATGTGGAACATTCTTTCATCAATGGTAATACCATAAATCAGGTCTTATCTTTGGAAGGTATTTTGCTTTTTATTTCATATACTGAGCCATTATGCTTATTTTACAAATTTACTTTTTTCTTTTATTGTGGTAAAATATGTTAACAAAATATACCATTTTAACCATTTTTAGGTGTATAGTTCAGTGGCATTAAGTACATTCACACTGTTGTGCAACCATTGCTACCATCGATCTCCAAAATTTTTCATCTTCCCCAGCTAAACTCTGTATCCATTAAACATTAATTCCCCATTTTCCCTTCTTCCAAGCCAATGGCAGCCACCATTCTTTTATGCCTTTGACTACTCTAGGTACCTCGTGTAAGTGGTATCATGTATTTGTCCTTTTGTGACTGGCTTATTTCACTTAGCATTAATGTCAAGTTTCATCCAATGTTGTAGCATGTGTCAGAATTTCCTTCCTTTTAAAGCTAAATATTCCATTGTGTATGTATACCATGTTTTGTTTATGCATTCATCTGTCAATGGACACTTCAGTTACTCCTACCTTCTGACTATTGTCAATAGTATTGTTATAAACATGGGTTGTACAAGTATCTTTTCAAGTTCCTGCTTTCAGTTCTTTGGGGTATATACCCAGAAGTGGAATTGCTGGATCAAGTGGTAATTCAGTTTAATTTTTTGAGGAATTGTTATACTCAGATGACCTTATTTTTCCAGTATGTGGTCTATGTGTGTTTTTTGACAGGACAGGGAGAGGGTGAATCTCTTGGTTGCTCTCATATACTCCCTATGATGGCTGAGTGCCATGATAGAAGCATGTCGTTTGATAATTCAAAACAGGGACAAATGTTTCAAAGCAAAATCATTGTAACAGGTTTTCATGTAGTAGCTGGTATATTGGTGTTTTCCTGGGCATTAGCCAATAAATCATCTGGCTCTTTGGTTCTTTTTTAAAAATTATGAAATGAAGAAAATAATGCACGCTTATCTTCTTGATATGGTCAAAATAGGGAGTTTTTGCAAAATCCGCCAAGTTTTACAAAAAAGTGTTGGCAGTAAATTTATAACTATGTAATTGGAAAGTCAGAAAATTTATATACTGTAAAATTACTCATATTTATATTTTAAAAAGAGTTCATTCTCTCGTGTTAATGATGTAGTTTTAGTTTTTGAATTTGAGAAGAATGTATTTTTATCAGTGTAATTATGCAGTTAAGAGTGAAAGAACACGATGATAAAATTGGCTTATTGCTAAACAAAACTATATAGTATTTTAGAGCTACAGGTTACTTTTGTACCATTTGTTGTTTATTAAGGACTTGAATGAGTCAAGAAATAGAATAAATTATACTATCATGCTGAACATAAAATCCAAATAGTTTTTACTAAACTATTTTTAAATTATGAAATATATCAGGCTATGAAGAAGTAGGAAAAATAATATAATCAACTTTTGTGAACCCAATACCTAATTTAAGAGTGAAAATGTCACCTAATACAGTTGAAACCATCTGTATATTATATACCCAAAATATTCAGTATTCTAAATTTGATGTTTATAATTGTCATGCATTCATTTGTAGCTAAACAAAAACTTTTAAACCCCATATAACAAAGTACCTGCTGAATAGTTTTTAACTGGAACTGAAATTAGGGAGTAAAATAATCTGAGATATCTCACTACTTTTTGACATCAAGCAAAATGAAGGAAAGTTTATCTTTGCTATTCTTTTATCTTCCTTCCCTGCCCAGTACTACTTCGAAGTTTTTTATTTTACCTGTACCTGTCTTCCAGGTACTAAACCTGTTTACATTTCCAACATCAATATGTAATATCCATTAACTGTTTTGGGAGTTACACTTTTCTGTCTGTCCTGTTAGAAAGATTATTAAACTGCATTAGTCTATACTGGGTTGCTGTGTTTGTCTTCTTCAGGATTATTAGCATGAGAGTATTTTGCAGGCATATTTATTAGTGATATATATTAATATAGGAGACAATATAGGAGAAATATATTGCATAATAATCAAGTCAACTACAGCTAGATAAGATGAATCAGTAGGCTAACATCTAAAAACATGGGGTTCTATAAAAATAAAGAAATCTTAGACTTTTGTTTAATAAATCCATTAAATAAATATATGAATGGAAAGCCAACATTAAATGCTGGGACTTGAGGTTTTAGTGACCATAAAGTGAATCAGTGATATGTGGCTCTGAAAATAGCTAAAATATTATGCTGCATTAAGAATAAAAAGTATCCAGAACAAGGGAAATGATACTGTAGTGACATCACATCCATAACCTCTTGTTAACTTTTAGTGCTATACAATAATAAACTGCACTTAGAGCAGAATTACCAGGATAGTGGGAAAAACTTGAAACCATATCATATGGAAAATGGTGAAGGCTTTGGCAATGTTTATTCAGTGCTGCTGATAATAACTTAAAAGTTAAATACCTGAAGTTATATAAAGATTAGACTTGGCCCAATGTAAAACAAGTTATAAATTCCAATACAAAAATTCAGCCCCAAAATAAAAACAAAAAGCCCCAAAGACAAAACAAATAAAATAAAATAAAAAACCCAAAAATGCAGCCTTTTAAGTCTTCATTAGCGCTAACACAAAACTGAATAGAGGCATGGTGGTCAATGAAAATTCAACATAAAGGATGGAACTGAATTACATAGCCTCTGAGGTCTTTTCCAACTCTTAGCATCATATAGTTCCATAATGCTAATTCACACAGATATTAGTTAAGGAGATAGTTATGCCCCTCAGGATCTTTTTAGTTTAATAGACAATAGTGCCATAAACCTAAAAAATACAGTTCTATGCTTTGAAAAAGAAAAGGATGGGGCAGGTCAAAAGTATACAGGGGCCAACCTGGAAAGTTCCACTGGGAACTTTGCCTTCTAATAGTCAAAGGTGGAGGACAAATTTAGCAACAAAGTAATAACGACAGTAATGGAATATAAACCAAAGAATAAAATATCCATGAGTCCATAATGTAAATGATTGAGTAGATAAATGAGAGAAAGGAAAAATTTTCCTTATGGAAGAATTCCAATAAATAAATGTAGAAGAAATGAAGGAAATAGAAAACAACCATTGGACCTCCACAATAATAATTCCTGTAGGAAAGATTCACCAATGAATGTTAAAATTAGTGTCATTTCTGAGCTCACGCCTATTTAGAAATTATTATGTGTCCTGACTTGAAATTCAGAGTAATTATAGCATAGCAATTGATTTTGTTCCAAATAACAGTCACTATAAATTTTGTTTTTTTAAAGGTTTTTATTTATTTTATATTAAACGGTACAAATTTGTGAAATTGGGAATAGTTTCCATATTGACTGGTCAACCCTTCACCTAAGTGTTAAGGCCAAAAACTATGAGTCATTTTTGTTCCCTTCTCCCAACCCACTTTCAATTATATCAGTGTCTTGTGAGCTGTATTTGCTAAGTATATCCCATATCTGACCACTTCATCAACTAATTCCCTAATCTGAGCTACCTCTTGCCTGTAGTAGCTTCCCAACTGTTCTTCCTGCCTCCTATTACCTTGTAGTTTATTTTCAACATTAGCTAGTAACCTTCACAAAACAAAAAATAACTCAGATCCCTTTAATCTCCTGTGCAAAATTCTCCAATGGCTTTGCCAAGCTTAGAATAAAATTTGCTAATTACTTTGGTCTATAAAGTCCTATATGATCTGACCCCTTAACAACTTCTCTGACCTTTGCTACCATTCTCATCCTCATTGCTTATTACTCCTTTCCAGGCTCAGTAGTTTTGCTTTTCTTTAAACACACCAACCTCATCCCTGTCCCAGATCCTTAATATTTGTCATCACCTGTATTGGAAAGTCTTTTTCCTCAGATCTTTGTACTGCTTGCTCCTTTACATCAGGAAGGTCTGTGTCCAAAAGTCACCTTAGTTAGGATCTTTGGGGAAGACCTTTCTGAGGCAGGCTGCCCTGCTTTCACCTGCTTAATTTTTCCCCCCATGGCATTTATCACTACATGAAATAATACGCACTTATTTACTCATTTATTATCTGTTATTCAACTTGAATGTACACACATAAGGCAAAGGACTTTGTCTTGCTTACAAACTATATCCACAATACCTAAAACAATTCCTACAACAGAGTGGGCCCTCAAATATCTATTAAATAAATATTTTTAAAACATTGAAGGGCAAAAACAGATGAAGGCCTGTATTAGAGGCAGATTTCTATCTCTGAAGATTGTACCAAAAATGTTAAGCCTTTTGAGACAAACTTTAAAATAAAGAAAAACAAAGGATTTTTTAGCCATCTTAATTTTATAAATTCAGTTGCTTAAAAAAAAACTTGAGAAATTTAAGAGTAACTTTAATGACTGAATTTGGAGAGCTTCTGCAATAATCTTACACCAAAGAAAAATTTTATTAAAGTATAGATTACTGGTTATTTAAAAATACATGAGAAAAGACAAACATACAAAAGCATTATCATACAACTGATTTCTAAACTCTATACTTTTGAAATACAAAACAATGATCATTACCTTGAAAAGTCAGCTTGAAGCAAACTGAGTTTTAAATTGGTTTTACAATTTTTTTTCACTCAGTTTTGCTTACAAATGTTACTGGAGTTTTTCAGTTTCATCCCTTATCAGAACTTTTTTTTTTTGACATGTTTACTTCTCAAAGTAGTATATAATTACTTCTTGCAATTAACGTCAGCAACTATAGGAGGCTTCTCTAAGTCACAATTCAATATAGGTGCTGCTTTGGAACAAGTTACCGTTTTGGGTTATCTACATTAAGACTCATATACTGACAGGAAAAATATTAATGGGCAAAATATGGGGACTGAGAGCAGGAGGACCAAGAAAGATGATGTTATCTTTTACTGTAGATCCATTGAAAAAGACTCATTATTTACTCTGATATTATTACTAGAGAAGCAGTTTCTGCCAGACCACAGGTTGGTTATGGAGTTGTCCATTTTATATTTCCTTTTCTGAAGAATGGCAGACTTCAACAATTGGATTGCTCAACCAAATAAGTAGAGACCCTTAAATGACCATATATTTTAACTATGAGAAATAAATTATTTTCTTAATTGGTTTAGCAGCCTTGGGCCTTGAAAGGCAGCAAAACCCACTTTGTTCCAAAATTAGAAGGCTTACTGAAAGGCTGCTTCTAAGATGCCTGACTACCTTCTATCATCAGTCATGAAGGAGGACCTTCATGAACACAGTAACTTAATAAATGTAAAAATGAACTCATCAACAACGTTGAGCTCACAAACCAAACAAGTACACTTATAAGGTAGGAATTGGTTTGTATAAAACAAGAGTGTATATATCCTCTTATATAATACAAAAGAATATGTATGATAATAAAAACAATCTATAATAAACTTTAAAGAGATGATTCCAGTTTACATGTAAGTCTGCTTAAACTGACTGTAACTGAATGATTGGAAATTTTCTTCTCCTAACATAATGCCCATTCATTGTAAGCTAAGCTGGACTTAGTTTCTTATAAATCTCTTATTTCCTTGGATTTTTCTACTACACCTTCACTCTATAGCCATTTAACTTGTAAGCTGGGCCTGCCCAGCCTGCCTATAAAACCTCCCTTTAGAAAGATACCAGATGCATTAAACAAAGGCATCTTCTAGTAAAAATCTGCACTTCAGAACTGCATACGAAGACCCAGCAGTTGGTCCTCCAATGTAAATACCCTTCATTTTACGCTATCACAGAAACAGTGCAGCTTACTAACCACTCCTTCCTTACAGAAAACTCAGTACGTGTAAAAATTTTGTTCAGTTTCAAAACATTTCAATACTTATTAATTCCAAAGATCCGAACACCATGTAGCTGTGGCATTTTGGGAATTAGCACACTCAGGAGAGAAGCTGTGTTTAGGATGAAGTGAGTTGGATCATACTTTGTATAGAAACTTGCCAGAAAATACCTGTAGAAATAAAAGTTCAGAATATATATAACATCTAAAAATGAAATTACTTAGAGCTTTTTAAATATTTAAAGGCAGAAAAAAGGTCACTGAAACACAAATACCTAAAAGCAGAATCATTTTTGAGCATTAAAACAAGAGGAAACATTTTAGTTTGGGGGCCTACATTAATTTTATTTGGGATTTGAAAATCTATTTAATAGAGGCATAACTACATTTTGCATTTCTGCAATCATATTAAAATGCATTTAATGGATTACAGTTGCTATTTAGCATCCTTTAAAGCAGAACGCTTTCAAGCTAGGGTTCATATGCTGAACTGAAATTTCAGGTATAGGTAAACAAATACTTGACTGCTCTTTTGATGTTCTCATTTCCATACTGTAGTTGAACAGGTCTATAACAAGTATAACTGGAAACTTGAAAGACACTCTTGTAAAATTCCAGCTGTTTTACCACGACTGAACATATGTACGTATATTCAAAGACATCCAAAATATGAAAATTTGTTTTAGGAGGCCTAAGCCACCTTTACGACTATAAATCATCGAGTCAGAATGTCTAGTTTGACCCAAGCATACATCAGAATGTGGACAGATCATCAGTGTGTAAAATACACTAGTGTAGGATACAGTAAAAGAGTATCCTAATACAGATAAGATGTAAAGAATAAAACATCATACCTTACTTCATGATAACTAAGAAGTTAGTTTGCATATGGGTGTTTGTCTAATTAGCACTTTTAGAGTAAAGTATTTTAATAGACTTTCCTCTAAAGTGGTGATAAATATCTTGTGTAAGATGGTTAGAGAACAGCTATTTTCCAAGTACAACTAAAAATATCACAGAGAGCTGTACACATCATTTTCAGAACCATCTGAATTGAGAAATTCTATAATCTTCCACCTACTTCACAAACTATAGTCAGAAAATTCTTCCTTGAGAATAAACCAGGTTCCTCAATCTTTAAACCCTTCTTCCTGCTTTTGTATACTTGAAGACTGTTTTCATATTTCCTTCACTGAACAAAATAGTATACCATTTGCATTTAGTAAGCTCGTTTGATTTCCCATCATCATTATGGGTTTAAGCTGTAATCTGGTATGTCAGAAACAATCTTCTTGGAATGGCTTCTCCTTACCATATCATAGCATATGTCTCCTTTATGTCTCTTAATGAAAACTAATTGTGTGTGTGGATTACATAAAACTACTTGACTCTTAAAAAAATCTATACAACCCTTCAAGGGGATATAAAACCCAAATGGGAATCAGTGTGATAGCATATTTTGTCAAAGGGTATGCTGGAAAGAGACCTGAAGCTAGAAGTTAAGGTTTTAATCTGGGCTCTTCACTCCAACTAGCTACAAGATCTGGAGCAAGATAACGCATTTTAATGTTTCTTCAACTAAAAATCAGGGATACTACTTATCCCACCTACCTGACAAATGATGATCAAATAAGAAAATGTAAATGCACTCTGGGAATATCAATGCTATATGAATGGCTTTATTAATGCTGCTTCTTCAGTTACGTAAGGAATTTAATTACAGAATATTTGAAATCATACCTGTGGATCAAAAATATACTTTTAGAAATATGAGTGTTGTACACAGGTACATCGTAGTTGACATTTTGTGATAGCTTTTATTGAAAATTCAGCACATGTAAGGCTTTTTACATGTATAGTTGACCCTTGAACAATGTGGGTTCGAACTGCAAGGGTCCACTTACAGGTGGATATTTTTCAATATCCACATACTAAACAATCTGCAACTGGTTGAATCTGAAGATGTGGAACTGGGGATACAGTAGACTGACTATAAGTTATACTTGAATTTTTGACTGCACAAAGGGCCAGTGCCCATACTCCAGTACTGTTCAAGGGTCAACTGTAATATAATGCAACCCTCAACATTTTATAGATGGGGAAACTGAGGCTTTCAAGAAAATGGCCAAAAGTCATATAGCTAGAGAGAAGTGGAGCTAAAATACCAACTAGGGCTATTTGAATAAACATTATTCTTGTTACTGCATTAATCTTTGTTAGGCCATATAAATAATTTTCCTTTTGACGTTAATTTTATGTGGGGCTACATGTTGGTTCATCATTTGTACCAAATATGCCACACTTATGAGGGAAGTTGAGGGTAGGGGAGTATGTATGTGTGGGTGGGGAGGGCTGTGTGCGAACTCCGTATTTTCTGCTCAATTCTGCTGTGAACCTGAAACTACTCTAAAAGAATAAAGTCTATTAAAAAAATTTTTATATGGGGCTGAAACAATTTAAAAAATTTTTAAATTTCCTTCAAGTGCTATAAATATAAGGAAAAAGAAACCTACCATTCTATGATTACTTTATTCTTTTCATTTGAAAATGCCTTCCCTTACTTAAACATCTATCTAAAACGCACTCTACCTTAAGTCCCAGTTTAAGGAACTCTAATGAGTCCAAGAAGTCTTTCCAGCTACTGCAGACTGCACTGATTCTATAATGGATATTTTATTATGTATAATCTTTGTGGTACAGAGTAATTAGGATATATGTGAAACATCTATTATATGCAAGCAACTTAGTGTGGAATTCAAAACAATCCATGCACTTATAAATTCTTTGCAGAAACAAACATTTATAATAATAAAGAAATAATACAAAGTGGCCTAAATAAGGGAAATATAACAACTACTATGGAAGTTCAAAGCAGAGCATTATCACTGAATATTGGGTGCTAAGGAAAAGACCTCACTGAGGAGGTACAATTTAAATCTTCAAAGAATATGACAGATAAATTAAGAAAGGAGAAGGCAGTAAACCTAATTACTCCCCCCAAAAGACAATGTAAAATGAATAAGTATTGGAAAAAAAAAAAAGTATCGCAAAAAAAAAAAAGGAAAAATGAGGAACCATTCTGTGAAGGACCCTGAATATTAGGCAATAGGAGGAAATTAGATACCAGATATAAGGTTAGATGCTTTACAGATAGATATTATCTCTTATTTCTTACAGCATCAGGAATGAGTTAAGCACCATTGGCTAGAATTTTATTTATGAGCAAACCAAACTGGCTGAGTGGCAGGTACAGGATACAACCCAGGTCTGTCCTAAAACAGAAGCCTAACCTTTCTTTTCTCTAAACCATACTGTCCCTCCCAAGGAGTTTGAACATCCAAATGTGGCAGAAAGTCAATGAAATTCATCTGAAATCACCCTTGTTTAGGGAAGATTAATTTGGAATATAGAATAAGATAATATACTTAGTTTTCTTGCAAGAAACTTAAGAACATGAACTAGAATGTATCTGACCTGTACATTCTAGAATGGCTAGGCATACCAATGAGCATATAATGCTCTGAATGTATCAGACTGAAGTGAAAACTGGTTTATTACCAACTTGTTAAAAATTTTGCCTGTATTTTATACTCTTTATGAGGAAGCTATTTATTGATAAAAGTTTTCAATAAAATAGTTTCTAATTCAAATTTAATCCAATAAAAGGATGGCTTCCTCTCATCGAATCCTTATACCTAAAAATATCCACCACTTACAGAATTATTGGAGAAATTGTGAAAAACTTCCGTGAAGATGTAAATTGTACTCCATAGTCCAGTTGTTCCCAATGAGTTAGGAGCCTTGCTTTACCCTGGTCAGGAGTTTCAAAAGGTGTTCCTTTTACTGCATGCAAAAATACATACATCCCCTGGAAAGCAAGCAAGGGGATACATAATCAATATCAAACACAAAATTATATTTGTCAGTAAGTTTTAAGACAGTTTCAGACTGTTTGTGAGAGTGTCTGATTAACTTAACAGCTCAAGTTTTAAGCTTTCACATTATTGTGAAAGACTGGGGCCAGTTTCTTGATAGTAAATTAAAACTTCTAGGGTCTTATATGGAAATAATATTTGGAAAACCATTATAAAGTCAACCAAAAGTAACCTGTTTTCATCTCTTTTAAATTGAAAATAAATGAAAAGTACCATCAGAGTAGCTTTATATCATTGCATGTAGATTTTCTAACACATTTTCTATTAGAAAACAGGATTACCTATTCCCCAATGTGTAGGAAAGTTTACAGTGTCATGCTGGTAAATCTTATTAAAAAAAACACACAAATTGGCAAATAATAAACAAAATCTCTGTATCAGAGAAAATGGTTTTGAAAATATTTAATATTAGAACTGTATTTGTCTCAATAGTTCTTTTCCAAAGCAACAGAGATAGCTTGATATAACAGGTATAATGTCAAAACAGTTTGCTTTTAAAATCATCACTGTGCCTCAATAGTGTTTCTTTTAAAGTTAGTTTTTAATAATCAAAGTAAAAAAAATTACTAAAAGACATTCTGTCTAGTGATACGTTTTAACATCTAATTTTGTGGGTAATTAGGAAAAAAACAGTGTACACTAGCTTTGGTTTCCTTGAGATACCCATTTAGATTGATAGGTAATGCTTCATTGCAAGATCACTGTCTAAGGTACTGGTAACAGAATAAAGCCTATATATTACCATGAAACAGTGTTATGTTACCCACTAAAGTCATGACGTGATATCATTTTTTTTAACTTCAACTTTTAATAAATATATGGAAAAAAACAAATTTTGGTTTTAAAATTTTATACTATTCTACTAGATTAATAGAGCCCTCTTTTCAAAGCTTAGCCTACTTGCCAGTTATTCCACCAGGCAATTTAAAAGTTTTTTAGCTGCAATAACACCTGAGCAACAGAGGAATGGATTCATGTTCCATTGGATTTAATGCCACAAACATTTAATAAGTGGCTAACATATGCAGGACATAAGACCTGTATGCATATATGAAACTGAACAAGATATGCCCAACACCTTGCTTCAGTCTTCTAAGAGATTGCAAGGGGAAAAAAAAGATATGCATAAACAGCTACAATGTAGGGCAGAAATTAATGTCAAAGATACAGTTACAGTACTCAGGAAATGCAGAGGAGGGAAAGGTTCCTTGTTGCTGAAGCAAAAGCCTTGATGGTGTCAACTATTTCATTCTTCAAGGTTCAACTCAAATGATAACTCCTTAGTAAAGTCCTCCTCATTAGCAATAATTAACCTCCTGCCTCTGTGCTTATACAGAATTTTATTGAAATACTTTGATTATAGCATAATATACTGTGTTTAAGTTGTTTACATAATGTTTGTTTTCCCATTAGCTTGAATACCTCAGGAACAAAGGCTGGTACAAAGCAAGTATTAGGTATTAAGCCAAGATGACATTAAGCCAAGGAATGTTTATTCTGTAAGCATAAAGAAACAATTTTCACATGAGCTTTAAAAGGGGACTATGAAACAGAAATTGTATGCTTTCAAATTCTCAGGAGTATGGGACCCCAAAAAAGTTAAGAATCTCTACTCTAGACCATACATGTATTTGAATTATCAAAGAGAAAGAAGAACAATCCTCTCATTTCCTTCAAACCATTTCCACTGCAAGGAAATGCAGTCACCAGTGTTTAGAATATAATATTCAAGGTGAGGGTGGGTGGGTGGTAGAGCACATGCTTAGCATGCATGAGGTACTAGATTCAACCACCAGTACCTCCATTTAAATAAATAAATAAATAAATAAATAAATAAATAAATAAATGTGATAGGTCTGTCTTGGAAGAAAATTTATTAAAAAAGAATATTCAAATAGTTTGTTTTATATTCTTTTCAATGAATAACCATTTATCTTCTATTCCATTATTTTTATTTTTAATAGTTGTTCTATAAAATTTTTGTGATGGATGATTTACCCCCCATAGCCAAAGAATTAGGAGGATAAAAGTAAGTAGCTCATAGTTAGCCCTTAACAGATATATGCTACTGATTCAAATGAAGAGAATTCTTTTTCATAATTTGAAAGCTAGGCTAAGAATTTTGTGAAGTATTAACATCTCTTAAGAGTGAACTGTAGCACTGAATAAAAACAATTGCTGTCGGTTTCTACTGTATAGTTCAGAAAGGTAGATACAGTATTTTTTCTAACCAGGATGACAATTAGGTCTGTTTTCCCAGATTTAAAAGCATGCATATGTATTTCACATTTTTTATTGGTTTAATGTAGGACAACTTCAAAAGAAACTTACATTTGGAATCTTATAATTGCTACCTTTATGGCTGGTTAGTTAGGTTTTTAGTCAAGAGGACTAATGTCAGAAGTTTGCTTCCCTACATGTTCTCAATTACCTATCCCTTGTCCATGGCTATATACTGTGCCTCAGTCTCAGTCAACCAACTTGAAAATGTGAAGGGGAGAGAAGACTTCCAAAGCACATTTAATACATGTGCCATTGGAGAAGGGAAAATTATGTGAGACTAGACTAATTTATTCAGCAAATAGTTAAACAGGTCTTCAGAGATACAGAAATTAAAAAATAAAAGAGATAAACTGCTAATTATAAAACTATGATAAATATATGAAAAAAGAATGCAGCACAGGAATTTTGTAGCTTCCTGAAGGAGATGATACTTGAGTAGTTTTCCCAACAAGCAGGAATTAGGCAGAGCAAGAAGAGAGAGGTGTTAAAATAGTGGAAGAAGAGCCTAAGTCAAAGTAAAAAGGTGAGAGAAGACCATCTTCATTATTGTTAGAGCATAGCTTATGTTTGGAGATGTGTTGAGATAAGATTTGATTCCTTTCTTACCTCTGCACTATTATCAATTGGTCTTGTATGCCACACAAAGAACTTGGCATTTTACTATGAATGTAATGGGGAATCACCGAAAGACTTAAGAATGTGACTTGAGCAGACATACATTTTAAAAATGCTACTCTGCTAAGCTGGAATGAAGGAGAATAGAGTAGGGGAGCATCAAGGAGACCATGTGATGTACTGGAGTAATCCTCCTGAAGAGGGAAAACGGGCATGAGTTACAGCAATGCCCATGGGGATCGAGTTGAAGATGGTAAAGCAGTAGAACAAATAGGGCTTTGATTAAATGGATGTGGAATATAAAGGAAAAGGAGCTACCCTAAGACTAGAGGTGCCATATATCCTAGTTTGCATGGATGGTCCCAATTTACACCTAACCTCTTGGAATAGTTATTACTAGAGCTCTCTTTTATTCTCGAAACACTCTCAGTTTGGACAACAGATTACATAATCACTTCACCTTTGACATTCAGCTATGTGGCTTGGCCTACTGGGCAGACAATGGTGCCTTTAGATTAGATTAGGAACAAAGTCCAGGAACAGATTGTAGGTGGTGAAGGATATATCAGGAATCAGTTCAATTTATACTTGTTTGGTTTAAGGTGCAAGGTGATCTGGCCATTAATATGGTCATCATCATTTAAGGTAGAAACTGAAATCATGGATAGATGAAGTAACCCAGATAGAATATATAACATAAGAAGAGATGAAAAAAAGAACCTTGGAAACAGCAATATTTTAAGAGGAAAAAAGAGAAGACTGTGCAAGAGGAAATAGAAGTGGAAAGATCAGAAATATATCTAGGAAAAACAATCCCATCGAAGTCAAAGGAAGTCAGAATTCCACTAGAAGAGATATGATTAGTGTCAAATATTTCAGAGAAGGCACAATTTAAAAAGTGTTTTTAAATACTTCCTTCCGAAGTCTATCATTTGAAATGGACTAAATGGACATTCACTTATTTCTACCACATCATCCTTGTCCTCCCCCAGTCAACTTCAGATTCTTTCCAAAGGATATAAAATAAATATTAATTTTAAAAAATCTATTTCTCCTGCATTTTTCTGTCTTAAAGTTCTAAGTTCTTCATTTTGGGAATATCTTTAAACAAATCTACAGTTAATCTGGATTTAATTAAAGTCTTAATTAACTTGATTTCTCCCCTTTTATTCTACTTTAATAGGCTGTTAAAGACAAGAAAAGTCACTATCAGGTTTCTTGTTTTTGTTTTTGTTTTTGTTTTTTTTAAACAGGCAATTTCCAGGGCTGCATAATGTGGTCAGGAGAGTCAATCTAACCTCTGGTACTCTGTAGAGCTATCATGTAATACAGAAGAGCAATAGTCAATGGTGCTAAGACACCATAAGTTTCTGAATCATGTAAGATATGATTAAGCTAAAAATTTCTATACTGAAATAGGAAAGTATATTTACACAATTTAGAAAGATTTAACAGGATTGAAACAAAGATGTTCATTAGACTCATGAAACATAATTACTTCTGAAGCATTGTGGTTAATCCATATATTATAGTAGCCTGAATTAGTGTCCTCTAAATTATGCTAAAATGACCTACTGTTTTTCAAATTCTATAAAACCAATAGGAGAAAAAAAGTCTTACTTAGAAAAAGGGTCCAATGTTTAAACATAAAATGATAGAAAAAAAATACAATCCTATTCCAGATAAGAATTCTTCAAAATTGTCATATATACTAAAAAAGTCACCTAACTGTACACTTTAAATGGGTGAATTTTGTATTATATGAATTAGATCTCAAACTGTTTTAAAAAACTGAGTCATGTGTTCTTTATGACATAAAACTTAAGGCTTTTTAAAAAATTGTTTAAATACAAACAACATAAACTATACCATCTTCACCATTTTTAAGTGTACAGTTCAGTGGTATTAAGTACATTCACACTGTTATGCAACCATCATAACTGTCCATCTCCAGAACTCTTTTCATCTTGTAAAACTGTACCCATTAAACAATAACTCCCCACTCCTTCTGTGCCTAGTCCCTGAAAACCATTAAACCTTAAGGTTTTAAGTGTTTAGTATAAGGTGAAATTCTTACCAGATTATGTATAACATTTGTTAAGGTCCAAGCAACAGGAACACTGAAGAAGGGAATACTGAGTAAGACGATATGAAGCAAGCCAACTCCCAATGCATATGTCAGCCACATACCCCGGCTGTTCATTACACGGGTATTTGGATTCACTTCACTGTGAGCAACTCCAACATTCATGTTTGCTCTGTAAGAAGGCAACGAGATGAACCAACAGTGATAAAACTGGAAACCTAAATACTCCTAATTTGACATGACAAAATTAGTGTTACTGGGATTATTTTTTCTCTCGTTCTGAAATAGAACAAACAGACCCTCCAAAATATGCTATATACAGATGCTGACGAGGGCAGTAAATAATTCTTAACATCTGACTTTATGGTAAGACAAACGATACTTATTTTTATGGTTTTTATTGAAAAATAAACAGTTAAAAGTCCCTTTCCCAAAGCTTATCTTCAGCATGTTGGTTTTACTAAGTGAAATAATGGGCAGGAAAACTCAAACGGAAAGAGAAAACCTACATTTTATTATATTATGAAAGCAAAGTGAAAATTCAGGAGCTCAATTTACCAATAGAATAAACTAATACAAAAAAACCAAAGCTGACCCAACCAGTCTGTTCTGAGTAGCCAGACATCTAAGTAATGCATCCATAAAGAGTGGTCACAGTTCAAATCACTCCTTTATGAATACTGAAGCTGAGGTGGAAATTTTACATGGTCAAGAGATAAGGTTTGTTTCTCAATCTTATGGTATAAGTAGGTCAATTAGGTTAAAACAAGGAGTCTTCGGCATATTTTAAACTCTAGTTAACTTCTCTAAAACAAACCTTTCTTTCTTTTCTTTCTCTCTCTCTTCCTTCTTTCCTTCCCTTCTCCCTCTAAAAATCTATAGGCTTATGATGCTTTAAGTTGGTTACACCAAAACGAAGCAAAAATCTCAAATTAAGTGTGTAACTATGTCTTCTAATATAAATATCCACCGTGTATCAAACACTTTTTTAAATTGAAGCATAGTCGATTTACAATGTTAATTTCTATCAAACATTATTTTTATGTGCTATAAGTTCCTCAGAACATGCCACAATTCAAGATGCTTTCCCCACTTTCTACAGCATGTGAAAAAAGAATGCTCTAAGGAGGCTGAAAATTTACAGCTGAGCTGGAAGGTAAAGACTGACCCACCCCGAGTTCAGAAAACCTTTCCAGGGGGTCTGCCGTGCCACTTAAGGACTGGCAAACAATGACTAAAGAGAGTGAAGAGCCTCTCGGCTCGGCCCTCGCGGATACCTGGAAAACAGCGACCCGCAGGGAACCCCTTGAGGAGTCCCCTGCTCGCCAGACGGTCACGGTCCCCCTGAGTGGAAGCTCAACAAAAGCCGCTGCTGCTACCGCCACAAAGCCCCCCGCCCCCACCTGCCCCTTTCTTCTCGGAGTTGCACATCCTGTCAAGGCCGGGGCAAGATGACGAGGATTTGGGGGGCATGCCTTGGGGACCACTCGGCCCGCATAGCCAGACACGGCGCCGCGGACAGGGCCGGAGTCCACTCTCTCCCCTCAAACCGACCCGGGTCCGCCAGCAGCTTCCCACCGCCACGGCCGTTCTTACCCACTCACCCGCCGCCCAACTCCCGGCGGCCAGCTCGGAGTAGGACCTGCTCCGCGGCGGCGGCGTCTCCTCAGGCCGAATGCCAGTGGTCAGCTCCAGCACGGCGCGGCGCAGCGCTACTTGCGGAAGCGTTCAGGGCCGAACGCGCTGCCAGGGGATTGGCTGCGGGCGGCGCCAATCACACGTTCGCCGGGCAGGGCGGGACTAAGGGCCGCGCGCGCGCTGTGGGTGAGTTGGATATCCGCAGGGCCGGGCCTGGGCTCCTGGCGGGACGCTGGCCTGTCTGCTAGTGGATTGTAATTGCCCACCTCGCGCGAGCAAGAAGGTAGTGTCGTGTGGCTAACGGGCGTTCATTCTTATATCCTCCTAGGCTTGAGCGCGTTCTCCCCTCAACTCGTCCCGGGCGGGGCACGAGCGTCGGCGGCGGCCGTGCGCGCCCCTCCCCCACCTCTACGGGGCGGGAAGCGGGTGCGTGGAGAGCGGTCTCCGAGGAGATGTGGACTCCTTAGTGTCTGGTTTGATCTTTGTTGTAGCCCATTACCCAGATCCTTCTGGGTGCTGATCTTAAAATTGTTCTTTGCCAGGCAGAGGCTTTAACCCCTGACAACCGTAACTCAGCCTGTCTTGTGAGTGATGTATATACTATTGTATGTTGTGGCATCATGCAAGTAGGGAACAAAACTTTCCTTTATTCTGAGTCCATCTACACACCGACGACAGGCACCCGTGTTACAAGCTGAGGAGATGTGGATACCAAAAATTGTTGTTATTCAAGAACAAGGAGGAAAAGTCATATTATTTGGAATTATCTTTGAAATCGAATTTCATTACCTTGGCAGTACACTGAGTTTTTGATTCGTATTGCTTAAATAACTTTCGACAACATTTCAAAATTGGTATAAGAGAACGTTGGTGGATTACATTTCTGTTGGCCTGTGAAACCAGTTAGGTTAGATTTATTGCTTTTTAAGTGAATTAATTCATTGTGTTCTCCCTAAAGTCTGTGAGTTCTCTGATCTTTGCTTCTTTTTTAGGTACGTTGTTGTCCTTAACTGATTTTCCTGATCACCAGCACTCTTTCAGGAGTGTTTGATTTACCTCTCAGCAAATATGGAAGACTGACTCCTGACTTTCTTAAACATTCTGTGCTGTGACTTGTAAGCCTGATGTTAATCCTTTTACTTGCCAAAAGATGCCATTTGGTACACATACAGTAGAGTGCTTGTTATACTGCAGAGGTTATGCTGGGCATGTGAAATTAAAATAAAATCTCTGTTCTCCAAGAACTTTCAGCTTGGAAAATGGGGAAAGAAATACGATAATTAGAATCACCTGTGATGAGTTTGGGATTAGAAATAAGGAAAAGGTGCTATGAGCATGCAGAGGAAGGAGTGCCTAGTTTGTTGGGGGCAGGGGTTAGAGCAGATAAAGGCTTTCTTGAGGAGGTGATACTTGAACTAAATTTGGAAGGATGGCTAAAAGTCATCAGTAGAGAAAGGGACCCTTGTGAGCCAAGGAAGGAGTGAGTGAGAGAGGCAAGTTGTATAGTATGACCGATTTAGTGTGCATTTGGAGAATAATGGGATGACATTAGAAAGATAGGGGTCCAGTTGTTAAGGTGTTTGGATTTAACCTGGCTAGCAGTTGGAAATCTTTATAAAATTTTAAGTAGAATTGCAATGATGAAATTTAAATTATAGAAAGAACCCTATAGATGGTTGAGATTCCAGGCAAGATATCAGTTGGTTATTGCAGTAGTTCACGGGGAAAACATTGAGGGGCTGAACAGAGGCATTAGCCACAGGTATTGAGAGGAGAGGACTGGTTTGAGAAATATTTAAGTAGTAGGATAGACAGGACTCCGTGGCAGGATATAGAGAGTGAGGAGAATTTCTGGGATGACTCAAGGTTTCTAATTTTGCCTTGTGAGACTGGATAAGCCTAGGCTTTGGAGTCAGACATGCCAGGATATGTAGGTGTGCATCTGTCACTTAATAGTTGTGTGATCTTGAACAAGATATCAAGCTTTTAAATCCTGTTTGTGATAGAGGAATAACAGTATACATAGGCTTGTTGCAATGATTAAATATATATGTATATAAAATTACTTACATTAGCTGTTATTTTTTTTTATTATCAAATAAGTATCGGAAGAAAGACAGTCAATTAGAGGAAAATCTGAGATCAGTTTGGAACATGCTAGTTTAGGGTGCCTCCCTGTCATTTAAATGATGATATTTAGAAAATAGTTGGAAATGAGGCCTTGGAGTCCAGAAAAAAGCCTGGTTAGGAGATAAAAGTGATGTAGGGGATGATATGGAAGCCAGTTAAAGAAGAATATATAAAGAGGAGTTAAGGCAATGATGACTTGCTGGGAAGGATGACACTCTTCCTAATGTTTATAGTGGCTTGAGGGAAGTACTGATAAAATTATTTTTTGTGGTCTCCTCTTTAATTTTCATGAAGTATTCACCATGAGTGAAGTGGTCTGATTATTCTGTGTTGCATCCAGAAATGTGTAATATATAATTCCCTGCATTCAGAAATCATACAGGTCAGGGCAGGGGTGTGATAAGCATTCCATGAGTGATGCCAGCCAAATTCCTTAGGAATGTAGGGGAAGGAAAGGATCATTCCTGGCTGGGTGATCAGACAAGACCATGTTACAAATGGTACTGAAAACTGGGTCTAGAATGATAAATAATACTGCATTATGATAAAGTGGAGGTGCAAATAAGGTGAGACTGCTGATAAAGGAAGGTTGAAGTTTTTGACCTTAGTCACTAAGGATAGTGTGTTATTAAGAGAAATAGCGAAGTTAAGTGGGAGCCTTGGGGAGGGGAGCAGGAACATAAGTTCTGTTTTACAAGTATTTAATTTGTGGTAGCAATGACACCGTTTGTAAGAAATGACTGTTTTGGAGAAAGAGAGATAACTTTTGGGATTTAGATTTAGATGTTATGCTAGAACCAAAGCTTTGGATTTTAGGGTATATAAGAAGAGGGGTTAGGGAATATCCATTTTTCTGGGAAGAGAGTGAAGAAAACACGAAGAGATCAAAGAGGTATAGATAGAAAATCCTTGAGAATCAGGTAGTGTCATCAGTGTCACCTGCTTAAGGGATGTCAAGGTACATGAGTCCTGAGAAAAGGATTTGATGATTTAAGAGCTCTTTGGTGAACTTGAAGACAACAGAATCCTAATAATTGTTATATAAGCCATTTTGCAAGGATTTTAAACATGAGTTAGTGATAGGGAATTGGTGACAGTGAATATACTTATTCAAGTTTGACTTCATAAAGGAAAAAAGTGATCATAGGAGTATAATAGGGTAGCAGGAAGAACTTTTTGTTTGTTTTTGCTTTCAAGGTCAAGATTTCTGAGTGGGAACTAAATAAACTAGGTGAAAGTGTTAGCTTATGACAAAGAGACATTGGTCTGAGACTAAGGAAGAAGAACATGGGTAGCAGTGTAGACGTTTTAAGAAACCAAAGGACACAGTGTCGTGGAGGAGGTAAGGTGTGTGTGGAGATGAGAATTCATGGTATGGTCTGCTCAGTAAACTAGAAGAATAAGGAAGATTGGGATGAAAATAAGGATTTGGGGAGGGGCCAGTGGAATAGAAGATTTCGAAAGAGAGATTATAAAGAATGAGACAAAGATCATGAGATTAATAAGGAGATTGTGCAGAAGGAGTGAAGGTGAAGGTGAGGCTAGGTTTATACCCCAAAAGTTGATTGACTGGTGTTTTTTTTAGATCCCTGGGACTCTCGAACTAAGGAAAAAGACTTCCTAAACCCAAGTCTAACCAGATAGCAAGCCATGGGTTAGACCCTGTGTGGATAGGGGTTATAAGTGTGGGGTATTCATTTAGCAGTTTGGAGGAACTCAATATAGTCCAAATATCCTGGGATCTTTTATCATGTATATGCCAAACACCCTAATATACATTATCTTATTTACTCCTCACCACAGCCATATGATATCATTATTATGTTAATTTTGTAGATTAGGTGATTGAGTTTAGGGTTTAATTTTAAGTTTCTCAGCATTATATAGCTTTTAGTGTAAGGGCTAGGCTAGAACCAAAGCAGACCTTTGTGTGGTTTTAAAGCTTGCTGTTTTAACCAGTGCTCTATTCAGTGCTATCCAATAGGACAATAATATAAACGACATGTATAATGTCAAATTTTACAGTAGTCTCACATTAAAGTTTAACAAAATGAAATTAATTTTAAGAATGTGCTTTATTTATGTAATCCATTATATCCAGAGTATCATCCTGTAATCAATGTAAAACATTAATTAAATTTTATGTATTTTTTTTACTGAGTTTGAAATCCAGAGTGTATTAGCACATCTCCATTTGGAGTAGCCACATTTCAAGTGCTCAATAGCCACAAGTGTCTTGTGGCTACCATATTGGGTAGCAGTTCTGTATCTTTAGACCTGGGGCCAGTCTGAAGCTTGAGGAGAGTACAGAGGGTGCCTTTTGCTGTGACAGCACTAATTTGTGTGACTTCTAAGATAGTGGAGCAGCCTGACTGTCCACTGTTTTCCTGACTGACTGGAAAGACCTCCCAACCTTTGAGAGCAATAAAAAAACCATTGAGAGGTAGTTGTTCACAGCTACTCTCCTTAAAACTGGGTACCCCAAAACTAAATTGAATATATAGCTTACTTAGAAGTTAATTGTTAGAAAAGAATTCCCAAGGTTTCGTTACATAATGATCATCCTCCTCATAATACTGCATGGTTTATATGGCCTTACCATTTACAGAACATTTTATGTGTATTTTCTTATTTGATCTTCACAGCAAATCAGTGTGCCATTATCTCCATTTATATAGGTGATTAATTGATTTTACAGAGGGATTTAAGTAAACTTCAGTTCATGGGTTATAAAGATGAACCCCTAAACCTGTTTTTTTAGACTCTGGTCTGGTATATATTTCCATCGTGCTAATCATAATCAGCTTTGCCTTGTACAAAGCAAAATATAGTTGTAGTTATGAGTTGTGATCAGTTAACACCATTCCAAACTCAATATGTTGACTTCTTTCCAGAAATACATTCCTTAAAATCCTATGTATTGTTGTAATGACTATACTCCATTTCTTGCTCAGTTACTTATTCTGGCTTTGTGTAA